GTATAGCACAGCTTTTCAACCCCAAACAGATGGGCAAACGGAGGTGTTGAATAGATGTTTGGAGACGTATTTACGGTGTTTTGCTTCCACTCATCCTAAGACATGGCATCAGTATTTGTCTTGGGCAGAATTATGGTACAATTCATCATATCATACGGCATTGAAGACTACACCATTCAAAGTTTTATATGGTCGAGATCCTCCTTCCATACTGCGTTTTGAAGCACATTCCACAAAAGTTTCAGAATTAGAAGTGATGCTGAAGGAAAGGGATTCAATGTTAGATCAGATTAAGAAGCACTTGATTCATGCACAACAATTGATGAAAAACAATGCTGATAAACATCGCAGAGATATTGCATATGAAGTTGGTGATTGGGTTTTTCTGAAATTGAGACCGTACAGGCAACAATCAGTTGCAAAGCGAGCTTGTCAGAAGTTGGCAGCCAAGTACTATGGTCCGTATGAGGTGATGGAACAGATTGGGAAGGCAGCATATAGATTGCAACTTCCAGAAGAATCAAAGATTCATTCTGTCTTTCATGTCTCTCAATTGAAAAAGGTATTGGGACAGAACCAACAGGTTATTCCTTTACCAGAGCTGTTTAATGAGTCTGATGAATTGGTAGTGGAACCAGAAGCAGTTTTAGAGACTCGTTACAATGACAGTGGAGTATTGGAGGCTTTAGTCCATTGGAAAGGATTACCTGGTCATGAGGACACTTGGGAAATTGTCAAGGAGTTACAGCGCCAATTTCCGACTTTAGCGCTTGAGGACAAGCTTCGTTTCGAAGAGGGGGGTATTGATAAGCCTATGCAAGTGTATACAAGGAGAAGAAATAGAACAAACATAACACGTGTAGAAGAAGAAGATGGCACGTGGGAGAAAGATACTTGTATAAAACTATAGCATTTGACATTTTATCATTCTTATGTTGTTGTATGTGTAAACAGAGACGTATGAGTCTTCTGAGGAGAGAGAGTAATGTCTAGCTGCGTCTAGAGACTCTTCTTCACATATCTGTGGCTGTAATCGATTCTGTTTTGGGTTAATAAAGGGAAGGAGAGTTCTTTTCTTAACACTCTTCCTCTCTCATATACCTATAAGAGTAACTTTTTCATGTTGAGGAGCTCCATAACCACGAGCTTCCGCAACGCTTTCCACGAATCCTATGTCTTTGAAGTTGTAAGAGATCATTCTTGTCGCGACAGTCTCTGGTCGGCTGCATTCTGCAACGTACAAGATCTTGGGTCTTGAGAGCTTCCTCTGCTCCTTCTATCGATGATATCACGACCACAGGGACGAACCCTAAACGGAGAAGCATCACTGGACCGAACTTTTGGGAGAGATTTTGAAAACATGCGTGAGGCAATCCATTGACGTTGTGTAAGTTTCCGATGATCGGAAGCGTCTTTGGTCCCGGAGGAAGTTTCCATTTGGAGGGTTTGAGCTTTTTTGAGAAAATTGATTAAAAAAACTAAGAAAAAGGTAAAAGACAGAGGAAACAGAGCAAGATTGTATGTGTCTTTAATTTTTTTTTCATATCAGCTCTTTTAGCTCTGAATCTTCGATTAATTGCATTGGAAAACAAGTTAATTTCAAGACCGTATGGTATAGTATTTCCATTTTTAAGAGTTCAAACTTCATAAACGTGTATTATATAGTTAGAAGGACATATGTAGTATATATCTACAAGATCTTCGTACACTTTTTTTTTTAAAAAGACTAGTTAACCCATGTAGCTTATTTTACATGGAAATTTCACAATTGTAAGATAATGAATTTGATTTTGTTCTTTGACAAAAAAAAAAAAAGAAAGAATCAATTTGATTTTGTTACATTGGGGTATATTTTTATGGATAAAAATCGATCGAGAATGCATCTTGGACCATTTAATTTTTTAAAAATAATTAGTAGTTATAACTTATACTTTGCTTATTGCGTGCTTATTTGCTTTCATTATAATTGATTTTGTTGTATATATCCTTCCTAGTCATATATATTTTTTTATGATTTTGTTTCCATTCCCATCATTTTTATATCCTTCCTATTCTTTTGTATATATGCTGGGAAATAGATATGCTAGTAATAAATTCTTTATATATATATATATATGACGTCTCTGCATGTGTTACATTGCCATTAAACATTCCAGCTATAGCTTTTTTACTTTCTTTTCTTTTGTATAAAAAATCAAAAGATGACTAAAGCCACAGTTCTTCTTGCTATCTTTGCGATCGTCCTCGTTTTTGGTTTGATTTACATATACCATTCTCTAAACATATTAAAACATTTATAATTCTTGTTTTTATTCTATAGGAATTGTGTTAATAAAGATATTATGTTTTAAATATTTTTAACAGGGATGGTGATGGCAGAGACGACGCAAGGACAAGAAATGTGTCATGATATTCTAATGAAAGGTCAAAACTGTGTGGCTAGCACCTGTGCCACTCTCTGTAAGCAAAAATGGAATGGAAGTGGACTATGCTTCCAAAACGGATCAATCAAGAGCTGCCTCTGCACCTTTCCTTGCAAATCTTGATTTCGCACGTTTTGACAATTGTTATCTATAAACAATAGTAATACAAATAATAATGACATGAGATCAAAATATACATGTTACTGTTTCAATCTTTATATGAATTCTGATTTCACTTTTCTTGTTTTTTATGACTTGAGCGTATGTGCCATGTAGTGATGGATTGAACAATAATTAAATTTTTATCGGCATATGCATGCATGTAGCATAAATTAGAAAATGAATGGAAAAGATATTTTTAGTGACTGAGTTTTACTAATAATTGATTATAACGAACGAAGATGGGTTTATCATCATGTATATGATGAACGTTACGTCCTCCATATTGCCGTTTGTTGCTTCATCTCGGGAAGAGACGGATGATCATCAATCAATCTATTATCTATAAATAAGAAAACTACAAAACAACCCTCCATCACTACAAAAACCAAATATGTATATACATTCTTCTTTATTATTGGGTGAATATCCATTTTATATATTTTTTTTAAAAATCCCTTTGGAGGATTGATGAGTTGTTTCTAACATTGTAGAGAAATAAAAACACTTTTATTATTGATAAAATCGTTAAAGATACAGCAAACAATATCTTCAACGGAGCATGTACTTTAATTTAAAGCTTTCAAACAAAATGACAAATGTTTGAAACTATGCTCGTGACGATCTCGTTAATGATGTTTAACGGGAACAAGGAGGAGTGGTTCTTTCTTGTAAAAGGAGATGTTTCCAATATCTCCCATATCGATGTTTTCTGCGACCACCCCATCAGGTAACTTCCAGTCAAAAAAGTAGAGCATATTCAAGAGCCCAAATTCTATTGTATTGCTGGCCATTGAAACCGCGGGACAGAGTCTCCGACCAGAACCAAAGGGTAACAACTCATAGTGTTGTCCCTTGAAATGGACATCACTATCAATGAACCGCTCAGGATTGAACTCTTCAGGGTTTTTCCAAACCTTGGGGTCTCGTCCGATCGCCCATACGTCGATGTAGATCCTCGTGTTGTTAGGGATATCATAGCCTTGGATCGTTATTGGAGACATTGTTTCTCTTGGTATAGTTGGAACTGATGGATGCAATCTGAATGTTTCCTTCACTATGAGCTTCAAGTACTCAACTTTCTCTAGGTCTTCTTCTGTGAGCTTCTCTCTGTTCTCCCCGAGGGCAGCTCTAATCTCATCTTGTGCTTTCTTCATCACTCTTGGGCTTCTAATGAGTTCTGTCATTGCCCATATTATAATTATGGCCACTGTATCTATCCCTCCTAGAAAAAGATTCTGCATCCATGATCAATACATAGATTAATCAACACATGTACAGTGTCACATATAGTTAATTATAAGAAAAATATGTAGTCGGTCCAAAAAAAGTAAAAAATTATTGACTGATGCATGATAGAAAAGGTATTAATTATATACGTACCATGAGTACTCCTTTGACTTGGTCCAAATTGGTTCCGTTTTTACCAACCAAAGCCAGCATCCCGGCAACGATATCGGCGGGAGGATCTGTACCTTTTGGTCCATCGAGTGACTTCAAGTGATCATCGATCACATGTTGGTAAAAATCATCAAGCTCCTTAAACATTCTCGCTAGTATCCCTTTCTTTCTTTGGAACAACCAATCTGCAAAGTTTCCTAATATGCCAGGGTAGAAATCAGAGAAACCAAAATGACCTGTGGCTAGGGAGCCTTCTGTAACAAGCTTTACGACTCTGTCCTCGTCGAAAAGCTTGCTCGTGTGCAAGTTCTGTCCTAACGCTGATCTACATAAGATGTGGGAGACGAGGCACATAGAAAGGTTGTTTATATCCATGGGAGATTGTTCCAAAGCCGCACTGGATATCTTCTTCACCATGAACTCCATCTCTTCCTCTCTTAAGGACTTCATAGTTTGAAGCTTTTTGAAGTTCAAAAGCTCCACCATCGAGACTTTACGATTCTCTCTCCAAGTATCAGTGTACTGTGCAAAAGTGATGTCCTTAAAGTTATACGAGAGTTCTCTCGCCCCCAAGAACTTTGGTCGAGTACATGTCTCAAGATCTTTGGTTTTGAGAACTTCTTCAGCTGCATCCCTTGAGCAGATCGCAACAGCTGACGTAAACCCTAGAGGAAGAGTCATCACGGGTCCGTGTTTGAGTGACAGCCCATAGAACCACCTGTGAGGCGCTCCTGTGAATTGGTGCAAGATTCCGATGATCGGAAGACCCCGAGGTCCCGGAGGAAGATTCGAACTAGGGCTCATCTTCTTCTTTACAAAAACAATGGAGATCAAGAGGGTAAGCAACAAGGACAAAGACATCAAGATCTCCATTTTTTTTTTTTTTTTTGATCTTAGTTTAGTTTCTCCTTTACTTTTTCCTGGACTTAGAAGTGATGATTTTGTAAATTCCGTTGAAGGCGTTTTTTTATAGACTGAATTTGAAGATTATTCAATAAAATGTCACACGCGCCTGAATGATCATTTTTGTATTTTAAATTTGTGACAGCAAATCACTAAACGTTACAAAGTTTATATATAATAATCCGACACAATCCTCTACCTACTCCAACTGAATCTTTGACCGGCTGTGTTGAAATATAATATATATACATATGTCGTGACTCACATGAAAAATTTATAAAATGAAAAAAAAAATTTAAAGAAACGAAAAATATTATTACATAAAGCTTGTTTTGTTTTTGTTACAAATTAAAAAAGCAACCTATATGCGTTAGCGATCGATATACTATCGCCAATTTTGTCATATGCCTGTTTCGTAACGTGGGGATAAATAATTCATATTTGTCACTATCTGAACATGGTAATCATCGTTATATATGCTTTCATTATTGCTTTACAAATTACAATATACATGTTTAATCTGATTCATACATTGATCTTCAAATTATATATCACATGTTAATGGCAGTATTATATGTCCAACCAATGAATAATTCATGCTTCTGTCGTTTTATTAAATCATGCTTTAATTAATTGCTTTGGTTATTACACAAAATCAGGTATTATCTTGTTTGTGAAGATCAGAGATATATAATTGTTTGATATGTTTGGATTTCAGTTATGACTTCACGTGGAAGAGAAATACTTTTTGTTTATCGTAATTGTTTACTTTAATTAGTATCTTCTCGTGCTTTATATAATAATCATCGGTTTTGCTGTTTAATTTTATTTGGTCAGAGTTTGCTGTTGCAATATGATTTGATACCGAAATCTGATGAGTCACTCCGTTTCTAGTTTCCAATGATCGAGAAATATTATTAATTTATCATGAAAGATACACATGTTTGTTAAGAAAATGGTAAGAAGAGATCTATACCAAAATCTTTAGCCAACGTAGTTTGACTCGATTCTGATTTCCGATCACTCATTACTATATAGAATCTACAGAGAGATAAATACTATTTTAGGTTATATATTATTATCTCGATCATTTAGTGCTTTATCATTGAGATCTATCATGCATGGTACCTAGAATCGTTTCATTTTGGTAGATCAATTGTTTAAGTGTTGGTTTAGCAAATCGGTGCTTGATAGAGTTTGTAGACCATCTCATGGCTTGTTATTATTATTGTTTAAATATTTCTTTGACTCGCCACCACATGTTTTATTAATTGATTTTATTGCATGATTGATTAGTATATTGTATATTCCACCGGCCGACCAACGTTGGAGGGAAGGGGTCAGCTTAAGTTTATATATTTGAAATTTTTGTTATCTCATGGCTTATTTTATTGTCTATTTCTTTGAACACAACGTGTTTTACTTGATTATCGCATATTGTTTTATTAATTATTTATATATTTGTATAGTCATGTGGTACGACTATTATATATATATCATATATGAAGTTGGTTTGGGTTAAAAATCATATTTTATATTTAAATATGTCACACATGTCGAGTTGTTCCACACAAAAAAAATAACGTAAGATTTGAAAGAATATTAAGAAATATAACATGAGATTTAAAAGAATATAGAGAAATATAACATGAGACTTGAAAAAAATATTGAGAATATAATAGATATGAATCACTTGATTGAGTATTCAAACATGATAAATTGACAAAAGAAAAAGTAGCCTAAGGCCCAAGGTCCAACGATCCTAATCGTCTTTCTCAACAACACAACAGGAGCCTATCTCCAATGGTTAGAGCATCATCAATGCAAGGTTCTTACACTTAAGATTTACACATGAGAGGATCTTATTAGAGCAACCCCAACGGGGGTTCTCAGACCAATCTCTCAGCACTAAAATAATAGAAAATATGTAAAAAGAAAGGAAAGAGAGAGAATCGATTCTCTAAAAAGAACTTGGCCAACCTTCTAAAGAACCTCTCTTGCCATATGTTTGAATTTTATTGGTTCATCTCTATTTATGTATTAAATTTAATTACATAATAAAACTAAAATAAAAATAATATATATTAATTGCAAAGATACACTTGGTGAGATACCCACCGTTGTTGATGGCCTTAGAGTCTCATTCGAGATTTTAACCATTTTTAATATAATTTTTGTTTCTCAAATCTAAGGATCTATATAAAAAAATTTTAAATTTTCTACCTCCAATAATTACGTAGTTAAGAATTCCATAAGGTGAGCAAAAACAAAAAAAAAATACAAGATTTATGTTTTTTTTTTTTTCCCACGTAAGCATGCATGGATCGGATGAAAATTGTATCGTATAGTATGGAACGCACGCACATCTGGATCAGCTTCGTTCCGTTCGTTCACTGAGTCAAAAAGTCAAAACACTTCCGCCGCGTCAGCAACATAACTTATTCAAATGTCTTGATTTACAGTTCAAATATTATTTCTACTCTGTTACGCCAAAATAATTTTATATTTTTTGATAAAACTCGAAAATACTGGGTATATAGAAAACTATTCCTATAAAAATATACTGTATATTGATGATGGAAACATTTTTAGCAAAGACTTTTTTTATTATTTCTTGATTTATTATTCAAACATTTTTTTTATCGGATCTTTATTATTATTATTATTCAAACATTTCTTCTTTTATAATTCACAACAAAAGCTAAAAAGAATAGTGTCACATACTTTGCTTCATATAATATCCATGTTATAAAAGCTGTTCATTTCTGCTCATCAGTAACGTTGAACGGGTACAAGTTGAAGAGGTATTTTCTTGACAATGGAGATATTACCAGCTTCTTCCATATCAATGTCTTCACCTTTCACCCCATCAGGCATACTCCAATCGAAATAGTAAAGCAGATTCATCAGTGTTAGTTCCACGGTAGCCGTGGCCATTGGCATCCCTGGACAGATCCTTCGACCAGAACCAAACGGTAATAGGTCAAAGTGTTGTCCTCTAAAATCTACGGAGCTATTTGCAAACCTTTCAGGGTTGAAATCTTCAGGGTCGGTCCAATGCTTGGGGTCACGACCAATCGTCCACACGTTAAGCTGGATTTGCGTTTTGGGAGGTATATCATAGCCTTGGATCTTGATGTGAGACATTGTTTCCCTTGGAATCACAAATGGAAGTGCTGGATGTAACCTGAATGTTTCCTTGATTATGTGGTTCAAGTACTCAACTTTCCCTAGGTCATCTTCGGTGATTCTTTCCCTGTTGAGGCCGAGAGTGGTTCGAATATTTTCTTGAGCTTTCTTCATCACTCTTGGGTTTCTAATGAGTTCTGCCATCGCCCAAATCATTGTCACCGCGCTTGTGTCTATCCCCGCGAGAAATACATCCTAAATATCACGTAATAAAGATACAGAGTTTGAATTCATCAACAGGTTTAACATGAGATATATATGAAGAGAACTAAGTTATTACCATGATGATTGCCTTGAGATTATCCATATTGAGTTTGAAAGAACCTGAACTGTCCTGTTTGTCCATCATATCCAAGATCAAGGTGACAATATCTTGATTGTTCCTCCCTTCTGGCTTCAAGTGATCATCAATCACATGCTGATAAAAATCATCAAGCTCCTTGAAGACTTTGTTGATCCTCTTGTGTCGTTGAAACAACCAATCTACGAACTTTCCAAGTCCACCAGGGAAGAAGTCAGAGAAAGAGAAAGTCCCCAGAGCTACCGTTGATTCGTTAACAAGTTCTTCGATCTTTTCTTGGTCGATAAAAAAGCCACTATCATGAAAATTCTGTCCCAGAGCTACTCTACAAATGATGCTTGCGGTGAGGGAGAAAAAGGTTTTGCTTAGGTCCACAGGAGATTGCTTCAAAGCCGATTCCGATACTTTCTTTACAACGACATCGACCTCTTCCTCTCTGATATACCTAAAGGATTGAACCTTTTTAGTACTAAAAAGCTCGATGACCGCGAGCTTTCGCACTTCTCGCCAATACTCACCGTATGGTGCGAAGGTGATGTCTTTGAAACCGTAAGAGAGTTTCCCGGTCCCCACCGACTTTGGCCGGCTGCAACATTCCAAGTCATGTGTTTTAAGAACTGCTTCAGCTGCTTCGCTCGATGAGATCACGACGACAGGAACAAACCCGAGACGAAGAAGTACCACGGGACCGTAGTTGAGTGAGAGCTTATGGAAACATCTGTGAGGCAACCCTGCGAGATGGTGCAAGTTTCCAATGATGGGAAGACTTGAAGGGCTCGGAGGAAGATTAAATTTTGAGTTTTTAGTCTGTTTAAGAAATATTAATGATACGAGAGTAAGAAGTGAAACTAAGAAGAAACAGAGCAAGATCGACATTTTTCTCTGTTTTTTTCTTGGCTCTCTTTCTTGGAGATGAGAGTTTTAAGAACTTCGAAGAGTCTTCTTCTGTATATTATGAGTGACAGGGATTGCCGAAGAGATCGATACCTTAGCTCATTAAATCAAGTGGTTGGTTATAAAGGTGTAACAGGAGCTACAAGATTTGTGGAAAAATTATCTTCGTTGAAATCAAGAAATGTGATAGAAGCAACATCAAGTCTTACGGACCAGAATCCACGTGTCGTAATACGATTTGTTCTGTTTGGTTGTGAGCGGATAAGCAAGTCACTGATTGCTTATTTTATTTTTTCTTGACGACTGTGTATACTATTATATAGTTTTTAGTTATGCATGTGCATTTCAGATTTGTTAGGTAGGATGTGAAATTGGAAACTTAATATATTTTGATGCTTAATTAGACGTTTTGGCAGGTGATTGTCACAAAATTATTAGGAAAAGATGGAAAGATAAATATGTCTTTGAGATGTATTTACAATGTCAATGGCTAAATGTTGGTTGAGAATTGTAGATCAGTTCAAATCCCCAAAAAGAAAATTATCCTTAGAGGTTAGCCACGATGATGGTGCAACATCTTTGCTGACATATACCATTATGACATTCATATTTAATTCACATATGTCAACTACAATATCCAAATTTCCTTGCATTATTACATTTCCATATTATACGAGTAAGTGAAGTACTATATACAGGCTATTAAATTGACTCCAATCTAAAAAAATAAAAAAATAAAAGATTTATAGCTAAAATTGGATTTCGTACAAGTTTGTCACGTCTTCGACTTTGAGTGTTGGATAATATACCATATATTATAACATTATCCATAAATAATTCGAATATGTCAACAATGTATCAATCAAAGTTAAGATCGGATCCAAAATTTTCATTTGCATTATATTGAGATATTCAAAAGTAGAATACTAGTACTATTACTTTAGTTTATCTTTGTGTTTGGTCGGCAATATAAATACTATTTATAGGTTATAGCTGTATTCAGAAACAAACAAATAACATTTCGTGCAAGTTTTTGTTTCGATGAACGTGACATTTGTGGCTGATGGTGTTGTGAATTGTGATCAATGACCACACATTAGCATAAGTGTGTAACTGAAAGGGAAAACAATTGCCACGAGAGAAATACAAAAAAGAAAAGGTCGTTGTAGGAAAAAAGTTGCACATCACATTCTCATCCAACAGATTCGGTCACTAGTCACTTCTCACCTCTACATGAGTAAGATTAAGACATCATTTGATTTTGATACCACCTTTTTAATCTTCTTCTCTCCCTTTGATAGTATATGATTCTAATTGTAACTCTTATATTGATCAAGCACTCACTTCTTTTTTTAAGTATTCACTTTTTGTATACAAAAAGGTCAAATTTAACTTTTCTCTATTAAGTCTTCATATTTTTGCAATAGCTTTAGGTTTTAACCACTATCTCCTTAACCAAAATATAAGATATCATAGAAAAAATAGCTGAGAGAAAATGTCTGACCAAGTCGCCTGATTCCTAAAGTCTTTAACTGCTATCGATAATCGTTCTCCAGAAAAGAAAAAAAAAACTACTGTCGATAATATATACTAACCCCCAAAACCAAGTTACTTGGTTGATAGTTGACACCACACGGATATGTCCAAACTAACCAGATAAGTTATTTTTATTACAACAACCAAAGTGAGTTTTTTTCGTCAGTGTGAACTTAACCTTGAGTTCACATGGATTTATATCAGAATTACCAAGTATTTGCACCCTTGACCTGTTGACCATGACTTTTATGAAAATACCAATAAGTCTCTTTCATGGCCTAAAAGATAAAGTTTGATGCCACGAGAATGAAGCATCTCTGCTCTTGATAAAAGAGTGATCTCTGGCCTGATGCCCACGAGAACGAAGCATTTCTCTGAAAGTTTTTCCGTCAAACCTCTTGCAATCGTAGAGTAACAATATTTTGTGTCAAAGACAACTAGGGAGATTGTGCACAGCAATCACAATGGCTACATTGATGTTTGAAACACTGAGTAAGGAGAGCCATGTCATTGCAGAAAAAGAGTCTTATAGAAAATATTTCGCGAGCCACATTTTAGATCAGTAAAATAGAAATACCAAAGCTTAAGCTCGAGAAAACTCAGTATGTACTACCACATAATGTAAGAACAGAAAGAGGGTGAACGATTACAAAACTAAGCAGGTTTGTTACTCGGCGGCTGCTTCCTCCATGACTTGTTCTGCAATGGCTGGTGCAACGGGGTAGTAGTGATAGTGTAGCTCCCCAACATCATCTCCAGATAGTTTTGTCCATCCGTCAGGACCGACGTGGTACACTGATCATATGAGAAGAAACCAATGTTATCAGCTAAATAAGAATCTTGAAAGTTTGAAAATCTTATTTGGACCACAAAATTCATTGGGACTACTAACCGCTAGCAACTCCACCACTGGCTCCATCACGGAATGTCGCATGGTAGATTGATCTCCTTGCTAACTCAGAAGCTTCTTCAACAGACATATCATACTTGTACCTAACAATACAAGCAAAATCATAAATATGAACAGGTAACTTTGCTAAAATCATTAGATATGGGTTTCTAGCTTTGGAAGTTTGGACCAAAATATGAAGATCTCAGGGGCAATGATTTACCCGCTATCGAGAACACCGTAGGCGTATGGTGAACCAGAACCGACTGAAAACCTGTCTCCCTTGAGCCGTCCTCCTTCGTTGTCAACATAGTATAGTCCAGGACCCTATATAGAAGAAGTAAGGATTTAGCATTCAAGCTTACATCTGAGTGAGATGAAATAATTGATGGTATGAAGTTGGCTTCACTGACAGTTTCGTCCCATCCAGCAATCATTGTGCCTACAGAAAGTCCCATCCCACGGTATGAATAGAGCATGTTTGCAAGAAGTTTTGAAGCTCCGGAAACAGAGATTCTCCTCTTGTTTGCCAGCTCGTGTAGGCGACACTTGAATAGATAAATAAATCAAGAGATTAGCCATAGCTCCAACAAATAAAGATCCACATACACAACAAAATTAACAAGCCAAAAATTTAGCAAGAGCTAAGTAGACCCACTCTAATGAAAAGCAACTATATCAACTTGCATCCACCAACTCTTATCCAGCGGATTTTTAACATTCGAGCATTTATAGTTCACAATTCTAAGTTTTTTTCTCAATTGACATCAAGTATGACAGAAATAACAAAGCTGAACTTTATTATTGCTAAGAAAATGTTTGGTTCACAGAACAAAGGTTCTAAAACAACCACATGCCTAACAGAAAATACATACTTAGAATCCAAAAAAAATCATGATTATAGGGTCACCATCTGACAAGTAACTCATTATCATTCTCCAATACAGATAGATGAATCTGTCTCTTTTGGAAATCAATAAACCACAATCAGAACAAGCTAATTCTAGGATCCAAGCATAATTTGATACAGAAAAAAGAAAAGAAAAATCAAGCTAAGTACCTTAATTCCAAGATTTCTGTGCCAGAATTGGCAGTCAGCAGCTCCTCCAGCCATTGTACCGAGCATATAAGGATTGATTTCAATAATCTTTTTCACAGATTGTGAAGCTGAATAGGGAAAAACGATATAAAAACATCAGCAGCAATCACTCAAATGCTTCCTTTCCTCTACTGATTCACTATCATTGACCAACAGAACAAAGACTAAACATTTGTTCGCCAATACACCAAAAGACTAAACCGACAATAAACTAACGTAATCTTCTTCATTGAAATAGCACAGTCGGCAACAATATCGAAAAGATGCATATTCTTTGGAAATCTCACAGCTAAACACCATCAATGTCTGCAAACAAAACTAAAAGAAATAATGATAAAAAGAAAAAGAACATACAGATATATCCGCCCATGCTAGCTCGAGAATCAGCAGCAACCATAACACCTCCTTTGAAGATAAAAGCGAGTGTGGTTGTTCCTTTTGCATGCTTCAACATATTTGAAGCTTCTTTCTGGAATCCATCAAACTGAAACCAAGACAAATAACAGCAGCATGGAAAATTCATTCACTCACACTGCTTCAAATTACAAAATAGAATAAAAATAAACTCACCTCTTTGGTGTGGGGTAGATCAAAGGAGGGCACAGAAGAAAGCTCATCAAGCATATCGCTGCTCGAGCCAAATCCAATCGTAGGCATGGAAGTCTCAAACCCACTAGTATCAAGCTTCATGTTTGCAATTCTACTCCAAATCGAAAACAAAATAAAAATAAAAGTACCCATTAACAAATGAGCTAACTCAGAATGAGATAAACACGAGATCAGATGAGAATCATAGAGCTATTGTCTCAAAACTTCAGAAGCAGATCTAGCAATACATTGGCGTCGATAGAAAAACCCAAAACCCTCATCTTCATTTACAAAGCCAAATCAACGATACTAGAGCTCGATTAAGGATCGGAAACGTACCGTACTGAAGAAAAGTAGTCAAATCGCGGCAAAGGGTTCACGGAGGAGAAGAAGAAGCTCTAATAAAGTGACGAACGACGACGACGAGTAAAAAAGGAAGAGATGTTTCTTGAGCTCCGGGCAAACCACAAATATGGGCCACTATACCCGTAAATCATATTGGGCTTTAATTTAATAGGCCCATCACAATATCTTATACTTCAATTTATCACTTTCCACTGAGCTACTGACATAAACTTCAAAAGGATTTTTTTTTGGTGAAAGTAAGACTTACACAATTATAAATCGTTATAAAATACTCCTAGTTCTTAAAATATAATTTTCCTAAGTTTTTTCACACATACATTAAAAAACATCTAAAAATTGATGATTATTGCTTCATTTTTTAGAATTCTAAACCAATAATGTTTAGTTATTTACTTTGAAATTTATAAATAATGAATTGATAAATTTAAACAATAACAAATTTGATCTTTTAGAAAAATCATCTTTAGAAATGGAGGGAATACTAAAATTCTTTAGTTACGAATTTAATCATTAAAAATGTACATTTTTTTGGTCAGAAAATTGTTTATATGCATGTTGTAGTTTTATTTATTCATAATTTGGTTGCATGTTGAAAAATGTTAAACTCGTATTTGCAGTAATGAATATTTTATGGGATTTATCCTTTTTCTTTCCGTGTAACATGCACAAAGACAAAAGCACTTTAACAAAAGTAATATAAGATCTATATAACTAAAACGCTAGCTACAACATTATATAATCACCAACATGAGTAATTTTGGATTTCTAATAATTCTATTTCCATCTCTAAAATCAAATTACATACAATCCTAGATCAATTCTATTATTCAATATACAAAACCAGATGCATTTTCCCCCTTTGCCATTTTGTTTATTTCTAAAAGTAGGAGAAAAATATGAAAACATACAAAAATTATCTGTTTGAGTATATTATATAATCAAATGTATCAAGAAAAGAAGCAATATAGTTTGTCAGTATTATGCAAATCGCTAGCGATTTGTATTACATCTTCGTGCTCGCATAGTCCCTGTAGGAGGGGTATTCAAAGAGATGCTGCAACGTGTGTGCAACCAATAAGAGTATCTCATTAAAGTCCCGAGGTTCGAGCGAGCGTGAAATGTTCCTCTCAGGTTCAACAACACTGGACCAGTCTCGAGCTGCAGCTGCAACTCCTGACTCTGAATTTGCTGGATCGGTACCTGACTGCTGACGAGATGGAAGCTCGTGAACATTGACATCCCCTTTGGTACAATAAATGGCTCGATGTGTTCGGTTGCTATGAGTGTGTTGTAGAAGTAGAGCTCGAACATCACGTAGCTGAAGTCTACACTGCTTTTCTTGCTGGGGTTTGTGAAGTTTACCACAATAGCGAGATCCCCATTTAGAACATAGCCCATGTTGAGATTGGCAGTGTTTAGGGTTGCAGCTGAGATGTCAAAGTACGGTGTGCGTGGACGATTGGCGAGGTAGACTATGAGGAGGATGAGACCGGTGAAAACCAGGACGACCAGGATAATTGCACAGCATATCGTGGCCGGCAATGTTATGGGCTTGGTCCTCTTTGGACGTGGTTGATGCACTGGTCGTGTTGGAGCTGTCCTCCATGGAGTTGGTTCAGATCCATAGCCACGGTGTTGAGGTCGCTGCTCTTCAGGACTCAATAGCAATGGCCTGGCAGAGTTTGGAGTATGGCGTGGTGGTAACGGTTCCTCTGGTCTCAATGGCAAAGGTCTTGAAGATGGCAATTCATGGATTAGTTCAGGTGGCTCAGTCTGATGGCGTCCTCGAGTCTTTATTTTTGCCCCAGGTGGAGCATTTGGGTGAGTCTGTGGGATCTGTACGTGGTGTGGAGCGGTCCATGAGCTAGAAGGATCACCGGGATGCTGATCCTGAAAGGGAAACTGATCGAAATGAGGGTTGGTTTCATAGTGGTGGTAAGACATTGGAGTAGCAACTAAAGAATAAAAGAGTTAGGTGTAACCGTGAAAACAATAAAGAGAGAAATGTTTGAGTGCTTTTCTAAGTGAGAGAGATGATTACTTGATGAGAAGTTTAAGTAGGATTCTTGTTTTAAAGGAAACTGACATAAACAAGCAAGTAATCTTTTTCATATTCAAGCAAACAAAACTAGAAACGTCATTTCTTCTTTCTCATCAAAATTTTGAAACCGAGAATGTAAATTCTGGGTCCGATTCTCCTTTTCTTTCTGTTACAGTACCAATAAATTTTATAGGGTTCTTGGAGAGAGAGAGGGAGAGAGAAAGAAAGGTAACAACTTACAGGTTCCTGATTATGGTAAAGATTAATAGTCGCTCTGATTCATAATGTGTGTGTATTCCTTCCTCTTCCTGTCTCGCACTTACAAAGGCTTAGTTCTGCGTCAGTACACATCATAAAATTTAGTAAATGAGATAACTATAGCAAAGGGTTTAGGAGTCGCTAATAAAACTGTCACACAGACACAATAATATTGCCATCAATAGGGTTCCAGACATAGCTTGATCTTGTTATAGAATGAGTCAGTCCATGAAAAAATATTTTAAACCATGACAAGAAAAAGAAAAGGTTGGCACGTGTTAAAACATAAGTCCTGAGCTAACCTTGTGTCTTTCAGCCTTGAAGATGCAGCTTCTAAAGGCAGCATCGATCGATTGCGTCTTAAGCTCTTGAAATATCCAAGATCCAATACCTCATTGGTTGTAATATATTCCATCATGGCAACTAATCGCGCCTGCACCTGAAAAATTCTACAAGCTTGCTTAAATAAACGTTCTACAAGTGTACAACTTAAGGAGGAATTTCATGCTTTTCATACCAAGCAACAAGGTGAACAAAAAAGAAAAGGAAAAACAAAAATCATACCAAGCAACAAATGGATTGATGTGCTGATGCATAGCAAAGGTATATCCTTTTATCAGTCCAATATGCTCAGTCCTCAGTGTAATATTTCTGAGGAATGGGTTTAAACTGACTTAAGAGAAAATTGTTTTTATCTCTTATGCAAGGGAGCTGGCAGTCTGGTTCTACAATCTGACCACAATTTATCCTTCTGGGGTATTAATGCGAGTCAGCTGGATCAGGGACAAGGCAGAAAAGAGTTGGTTCACATTAAAAAAAAATGCAAGGAAGGTAAACGAACAAAAAAAGGAAATATTTTAGTTAGTCTATGCAAGTTCAACTATGGATTTTGTTATGTAAAACGAATGAATAGTTCAAACCTGATAAGTTTGTTATTTCTCTCCAAGCAGTCGCAGGCTGGTAGAGTTGAAATGGCCTTGTATCAGCATCTCCTTTCCGCCATATGTTGACTAAGATGGCATTTTTGCACAGGAGACAACAATGTTGAAAATTTGTATATCTTATTATGCCTAAACATCAGCACTCATTGAACAGCTGGCCTTGATGAGTGTATCAGACACATCTCTATCAAGGGTGAATCCTTTATCCATCATCTGGTCCCAAACCTTATAGGCTGCTGATACTTTATTTTCCCGTATGAGTCCTCCAATAATGAACTTGAAAGTTAACTCGTCAGGACAACATTCTTTACTCTGCATATCCTCAAACAATTTTATAGCTTCAGTTACTCTACAAGCCCTGCAGAGGCCGCATATAAGGGAGTTGTATGAAATCGCATCTGGTGTAATTCTGTGCTCTATCATGTCACTGAAAACACCATAAGCCTTGTCAATATTTCCAGATTTACACAAATGGTTCAGGATTGTTGTGTAGAAAATGCGATCTGGCGACAGACCTAACTCCGTCATCTGATCGAGTAGCTTCTTTGCAACACTAGATTTACCTTCCCTGAGAAAAGCTTTGATAAGACTTGTGTACGTGACCACATTTGTTACTATCCCCTTCTGTCTCATTTCCTCAAAAAGCTTGTACGCCTTCCTAGTGTTTGACGCCCTACAATATGTTTCAATCAGAGTACTGTAGGAGACAACATCACAGAAACCTCTAGGCTCCATCTCTTTTACCATGAAGGAATAGCATTTATCAGGATGACTAACCCTACAATGCCGCTTAAGCAACTGGTTATAACTATAAGCATCAAGCTCTACCCCGCTTCTTACCATCTCGGTCATCACTCCTTCCGCTTTCTTCAACAAATTGTTCTCATAATAATAATTCAACAACACATTGTATGTAACAAGATCTGGTTCACACTCAATCTTGTTCATAAATGATTTTAACGCTTCTGCCTTTTCTATTCTACCCGCTTTACAAAACCCACTAATCAACGCATTGTATACCACTGTACTAAGCTTAACTCTTGCACTCTTTATCTCCTCTGCCACCATCTCATAAGCCAAATCAACTTTCCGAGCGTGACATAACCCAACTACTAGTGCTGCACATGCTTTATTATCCGGCCTAACTCCGCTACGAATCATTTCATTCCAAATCTCAACAGCATCAGTGACCTTACCAGCTCTAAATAACCCATTAATAAGTATAGTATAAGATACAACATCCGGTTCCCTACCTCTCTGAACCATACAAAAGAACGTTTGAACAGCAAAACCTACCTTATTCTCTCGACACAACAGATCCAAATATATGTTGAACGCCCAGATATCTGGTATGAATCCAAGGGTTTCCATATCCCTCAGAAGAGCGTCAATGAGATCAAATTTTTTAACTTTACATAAACCCGAGATAAACCTCGAATAAGTGAAGGGGATGAGGGAGAAACCCATTGGCTTCATATCCCAATATATTGCCTCAGCAAGCTCAAATCTAGACTCTTTGACCAAAACCCCGATGAAACGGTTGTAATCGGAAGAGAAAACACGGTAGCTTGAGTGACGCATTTCATCGAACACCTGAACAGCGTTGTCGATTATCCCTGATTTCACGAGTTTGGCGATACGCGAGCGGTATGCAAGGCGTACTGCGCCCAGCGTCTGATGCATATCAGAGCTCGACGCATATGATCATATCAGAGCTCGCCTTCTTATTTCAACGCGGCGACATCAGATCGACGACGACGGCTGGTGCTGAGCTTAAGCTAGAGGGAAAAGACGAGAAGACGAAGGCTTTAACATTAGTCTGAGGCTTTCTTTAAATGGGCTTTATTGGGCTTAAAATAAGGCCCAATGATCTTTGACTAAACCTCTCTGTGAGCGAGAGTGTTAGGTTTGGCTTATTCTTTCTTCTCTCTTTCTCTTCCTTCTCCGTTTATGAGCTGAGACAGGGTTTAAGGATTCCGAAAGCTCAAAACTTTAGCGAAATTTCTCACTCTTACTTCTCTGAAGTTCGTCTACGATGGAGGAAGAGAAGGTGAGGATTCGTCTGGTGTTTGAGGACCGACGGATTCTGAGCAAGTATCAGAAGAAACAAGGTCTAACACGGAGCTGGGTTGTTCTGAATCGTAAATGTCAGCGTACTGTTGCAGACTTTTCTGATCATATCTTTCATACATTCAACCTCTTTGAAGCTTGTCCTCATGGCCTCACGCTATCTGTATGATTACTTATTTTGTGCCCTAATTTCAGTGAAATCAAATTTGTCAATGTTGACGCCATTAGTACTTACATATACTTATCTTTCAGATGGAAGGGTTCGTTTTGCCGCCATTCGAGTTGAGCTGTGTATTGAAGGATAAAGATATCGTTTGGTTAGTTTCATTAATCCCTCCTCTTTTCACATTTTTTCTTGTAAAGCATTTACATTTTAGCTCTGGTTAAGTAGTTTTTCGTTTCCTTTGGTAGTGTTAAGAAGAAGAAAGAATTTTTGTTGGAGATTGTTGGGGAAGATAGTGAGGAGAATGTGTATGACCTGGACGCTACTGAGGTTGCGGAAAGGCCTCAGATTCGTAGTGGTGAAATGCTTCTTGCTAATGAGGAATTCCAGAAGGAAACTGGAGGATATGAAAGTGAGTCTGAGGAAGATGAGCTTGAAGAGGAAGTAGAAGAGTTTGTGCCGGAGAAGAAGACTTCAAAGAAACGTAAAGCTTCGACCAAAAGCATAAGCTCCAAGTAGGATCTCTACCAGAACGGTTCTTACTCACCCAAATGTTTTTTTGTTGTTTTTCACGTTTGATGATTATGTAGGAGGAAGAAGTGTAAGTTAGCTACTACTGAAGAATCTCCCGAGGAAAGAGAAAACACAGCTGTTGTGACAAAAAAGAAAAAGAAGAGGTCATTGGATGTACAGAGAGCTGACTTGGATGAACAAAATAATGGTAACACCAAGCCGATGGGCAATTCAAAGAGGTAGGTGGACTTTTGCATTGTGAAAACTCACTTGCAAACCTCTAATCCTCTTGACTCATCTCTAACTTGTCATTTCCTTACTTTTGAGATTACAGGTCATCGCAACAAGAAGAGAACAAAGCGCCTAATGATCTGTGCCAACTATCTGCTGAAACTAAAAAGGTTTGCTTTTACTTCATTCTCGTAATGAACTAGAATAAACAATATGTATTGTGTAAAAATTCCTTGATGTTTGTAGATGCAGGCATTGGCTTCTTGTTTCATTTATTGCATTAGCTTCCTATCGATTCTTCTTTGCAGCAAGAATTTAACTCTTCCTTATATTTATTTTAGACACCTAGCAGAAGTGCTCGACGTAAAAAGGCTAAACGGCAATGGTTGAGAGAAAAGACAAAACTAGAGAAAGAAGAGGTTCTTCATCAAATAACTCAAAACTTAAAATGATTAGATTTATGTAGCATCATGTGTTTTAGTGATGTACACCTGCACTTCCACCCTTACTCTTCTTCGGTGTACACGATTTGCAGCTTCAACAGAAGCAGTCAATTATAGCACCCAGCCAAAAACCAGTCCTCACTATAGATTACCAAGCAATCAAGGAAAATCACTGTGAAACTCTTGAAAATCAACAGCCAGATGAACTCGGTGACGGTGTCGGGGATGAAGTGATTCCTGTGGAAGTGAGGCCAGGTCACATTCGCTTCAAGCCACTCGGTAAATTATAATGTCAATTTCTCTCAGCGTAGCTTTTCTGCATTTGTAAGGCTCCTCACAGTTTCCCTTATATGCTTATTTTTCAGCTGGAACAGATGAAGCTCCCGTTGAAAGTGAACCTCCTACGGTATGACGTACCCATATTTTTGTATCCTCAAAGCTTTGCAAATGTGAATCTATAATCATCATGGCTAAATAATGTTAGGAAAATTTCCTGTGGAATGGAAACATGACAAAGAAGAAAGGACAGAAATGGGGCACAGAAAAGACAGGATTTTCCAAACGATATGCTCAGGATTTCAATGAAGATACTAGTTATCAGACACAGCCTGCAGAAGCAGAGACACTTGCTAAGGGTCAGATCGATTATGAACAACTTGTGGCATACACTGGCTTAGTGAAGGTTTGCTCATTGTATTTAATATTTATTACTCCCAGCTGGTTTAAAGATTCAGCATTTATAATTCCCTCAACTACTGGTTTGTGATCTTTACAGAAAGGAGATGTCATTGCATACCGCCTCATTGAGCTAACATCATCTTGGACGCCCGAGATTTCCTCTTTTCGGGTAGAATTGCTGGCTCCCTTCTTTTGAGCCAATTTCATCAATCGATTCTCTTTTTGAGGACCCTATCCCCTTTACAATATAATTCTCTTGTTAGGTTGGGAAGGTAAGCCACTATGATCCAGACTCCAAGAAGGTTACTTTGATGCCTGTTCAAGAATTTCCAATTGAGAAAAAGACAGAAGAGGACGAAGATTCCTCAATGCAACCTGATACATCTCTCTATAAAGAAGACGGTTCCTTGGAGGTATTTTTCCTGGTTTACATTATGTCCTATCTTATGAACAAGAGCACAGATCTGGTTTTGTAGTTGTTGGCTTGCTGAGTATCACAATTCTGATTTAAGAATGATTCTGCTTTTTGCAGATAGAATTTTCTTCGCTACTCGATATCCACAGTGTTAAAACAAGCAGCTCAGATTCAGTAGAAGTCGCCAAGTCAGCACCGCCCAAACCTGACCAGTCAGCTACAAAGCAAAAGCTAAGCGCAAACAATGATTTACAAACTCCTGTGAAAGGTGAATCATCCAACAGTCTTAGCTTTATCTTTGTATTGAAAAGGAGTTTTATTTTACTTCATTGAACCTATGTAAATTGCAGAAAATGGAAAAGTGAACCCCTGGGAAGAACTAAGTGAAACTTTAAGTGCAAAAAAGGCAGAATTGTCTCAGGCCAACAATGGGTGGAACAAGAAAGGGAGTTCAAGTGGAGGCTCATGGTCTTACAAGGCACTTCGAGGCAGTGCTATGGGTCCTGTAATGAATTATCTAAGATCTCAGAAAGAGATTTGAGAAATTAGGACACATCTCTTGAAGAAACTCTGATGCCTACGTTTTTCTTCGTTTTGGATATGAAAACTCGGACAAGAGTAGAGAAAGCCATATTGTTTTGAGACTGTGAAAGGCACTGCTGAGCTTTCTAAGGGTCAAGGTTTATGTATAGAGAAAAACATCGAATGTGTATTACTCTTAAAAGTTCTTTTCTAAATTTATGTTTGAATCAATTCAAAATTCTAAGAGATAGATGTTTCCGGTTTATGGGCTTGGCCATTGGAACAAACCCAAATTACATATAACCTGAGAAAATCTTATGTTTGTAAATATATGTCCACATAAAAACATAAAGTTGGTGGGAAAAAAAAGGAATAAGATTAATCCGCTAAAACAATGACTCATGACCGTTCGTTTCCTCTTCAAGTCAACCGTCACTTGCTTACACGTCGCGTGAACCACAACGACACTACGTTCAAGCCACTAACTTCCTCGTAAACTGATTTCCACGTGTTTCACACGCTCCAAACACGCGCGTATATCTTTCTCCGTCCATTGCTCCTCCGTTCCGAAACCTACAAACAAACCAGCTTCAAAAGGAATAAAAAAATCCGATTTTTACATAACATTTCATCTTTAGGAGACGACGAGAGAAACTGAGATTGGATTCGATTTCTGGAGCAGTAATTGGAATTACTCACGCGGAGCTTCGGAATACTTTAATTGGAGTCGTTCGTAGATTCCTTACTTGTCAATTTGGTTTTTTCTCAGATCTGGGTATCTCCGATTTGGGATTTGAATTCACAGATGTCGAAACCTTGGGGTGGAATCGGTGCCTGGGCCGATGAGGCTGAGCGTGCCGATGAAGAGCAAGCTGCTGAAGCTACAGCTACGGCGGCGGATTCACAGAGTTTCCCGAGTCTGAAAGAGGCTGCTACTGCTAAGTCTTCTAAGAAGAAGAAGAAGATGATGACTTTATCCGAGTTTGGAGCATACAACGCACCCAGTTCTGCTGGATTAACGAGGGAACAGATGCTTCAGCTTCCTACTGGTCCAAGACAACGCTCTGAGGATGAAATGCAACCTGGTCGTCTCGGTGGTGGATTCTCTTCTTATGGTGGAGGTAGGTCTAGCGGACCTCCTGGAAGAATGTCACGGGATCGAGATGATTCTGATGGCTCTTGGGGTGGAGGTGCTGGTGGTAGGAGATCTTATGGCGGATTTGACGATGATCAGAGAGGATCTAATTCTAGGGTTTCTGATTTCCCACAAGTGTCTAGGGCTGATGAGGATGATGATTGGGGAAAAGGAAAGAAATCGCTTCCTTCCTTTGATCAGGGACGCCAAGGTGGTCGTTATGGTGGCCTCGGAGGCGGTGCTGGTGGCGGAGGCAGTTTCGGAGGCGGTGGTGGCGGAGGAGGTGGCTTCTCTAAAGCTGACGAGGTTGACAATTGGGGAGCGAGTAAAGCTAAATCATCTACATACGGGTCGAGTTACCGTGACTCTGGACCAGAACCTGACCGGTGGGCTCGAGGAGTTCTTCCTTCCGGTGGTGTTCAGGAGGAGCGCCGTCGTCTTGTTTTGGAGCCACGAAAGGTTGAGACAGGAGTGAGTGAAACTGAAACTGCTGTGAAGACGAGTAAGCCGAGTCCATTTGGCGCAGCTAGACCAAGAGAGCAAGTTTTGGCGGAGAAAGGATTGGACTGGAAGAAAATTGACTCGGAGATTGAGGCCAAGAAGGGACAAACGAGCAGACCATCTAGCGCACAATCTAGTAGACCATCTAGTGCTCAATCTAACAGGTCTGAGAGTTCAGCATTGAACAATGTGGAGAATGTGGTGAAACCGAGACCAAAGGTAAATCCTTTTGGCGATGCAAAGCCTCGGGAAGTATTGCTCGAGGAACAAGGGAAAGATTGGCGTAAGATTGATTCTGAACTCGAGCATCGCAGGGTTGACAGGTCCTTTTCATCTGGATTTTCAATATTTTCTCTTAGAAATAAAGCTTTACTTCAATTCTATGTTGTTGCGGTGGTTTGAATAGTAATTCTTAAATGATCTGTTTTTTTTTTTTTTGCATACTGAGTCAGTGAGTTTAATTTTAGAAGTGATATTAACTAGTGAATTATTAGTGGGTAGAAATATGTATGCGAACTAATTACTTTTCAAATTCAAAATGGAAGATAATTGACTGACTTATCTGTTTAAGTAGTATATTGGTTTTCTTCTAAGTGGCTTGTTTTATATATGTCCTTTTAAGCACTCTTAGGCACAGGATAGACTCGAAAAGTTTGATTCATTACTTAGTCACAAATTTCGTCACATCATGCAAAGAACTGAATGTGTAGTGCCCATTCCACTGCTTTGGCCAATTTACCCATGTTTGTTCTCTCAGCTGAACTGTTTATACAGCCTCTCTGGGAATTTATAGAATTGCATGTGTGTAACTTGTAATATATCTCTTGCCTCTTTTTTGGACATCCATAGCTTAGCTATAGATTTTGTTTTGTTAATGCTCTCATTCAACTGAGATTTGTGTCTACTTCAGTTGATTTTTTCTGAACTCTGCTACGCCTTGTGTTGTTGGTATATGAATTCTCTGTAATAATGTTGATGACTTTCTATATCATCTGTCAATTAGCTATTTGTCTCACTTTTATCTCTGTCTTTTTAAACAAATAATTCCAGGCCTGAAACAGAAGGAGAGAGAACGTTGAAGGAAGAGATCGAAGAATTAAGGAAAAAACTCGAGAATGAAGCAGATAACCCACCTGAGAGCAAGGAATCTCAACAAGAAGCTGACAGTAACAACCATAGTCTACCGGATCTTATACGTGAGAAAGAAAAGGACCTGGAGTTACTGATCCGTGAGTTGGACGACAAAGTCAGGTTTAGGCCGAGAGCAGTCGAGAGACCTGGATCCAGTGCAAGCAGAACTTCCTATTCAGAAAGACCTCATTCACGGGCTGGATCAGTTGATGAGTCTAGAAGTGTCGAATCCATGGAAAGGCCTAGATCACGTGGCACAGGTGATAATTGGCCAAGACCTGTAGATGATCGAAGAAACTTCCAAGGAAGCAAGGAACGAGGATTCTTCAACAACAGGAGTTTCGACAGGTTAGTAACATCTGATTAATCCCATTCCAAACAACAAACTTACAATATAGTCGTATTCCACATTCAAAAGCTTTTTACTTCTCTGGATTTGTTATGCATTCAAAAGTCTAGAAACTGAGAATATGATGCTGACTTTAGTTTAAAGATCCAAACTTGATTTAGTCCTACTGATTTTTGCATCTATGCAACAAGATCTTGGGATACGATTTAAGCTGAAATTTTGGATTTCTGGCTTTGCAGGTCATCGAGGCAAGGATGGTAAGAAGGCAACGAGGAATGGATGTGGAATGAGATTGGAGTTTGGTTTTACACACCATTCCCAGATTTTGAAGAAGACAGTGAAGAGAGAGAAGTTTCAATAATATTAATAAGAAAAATTCATCTCCTTTAAAAACAACCTAATTTAGGGGGTTTTTGTTTTATTTTTTCAATTGGTACATCTTCGGAATTGAAACTTTAATGGTTTCTTCTCCTTGCTGTTTTTTTTGGTCTTTTGCTCGTCAAACGGCATGGCACAAGACTTGTGACAATTGATGTCTTCACAATTTTGGAGACAGAGACTCTGTTATGTTCTTCTTCTCCGTTTAACAATTCTATTTACCATTATTGTTTCAATTTATGAGATTGTGTCTTAATATTATATCTTCTATTCCAAAAGTTGTGGAGCTTTGTTTATAGTTTAAGGGAATTGTATTTTTGGTTTCTTCGAGCATAGCTCTGACAATCTTAAAGAAGACTTGAAAGGTAAAGGAAACTGTAGAAAAGAAGACAGCTTCTTTAGCCATGAATTCTCGCAGTTACAGCTTGAAAGGCTATCTTCTGATTCATCATTCTTTCTGCAAAACTTTAGATTTAAAGATGGAGGAGATGACTTTATTTGTAGAGCCTTCCAACACAGTCATGACTATATGAGACAATAAACAGAGTAAAAAAGGAAGAAATCTGCGACTCCACTGGGGATCGAACCCAGAATCTCTGGTTTCGTAGACCAGCGCCTTATCCATTGGGCCATGGAGTCTTTTTGTTTAGAGTGTTGAAAACGGTATTATCAACGAAAACAGTGCCATTCAAAGGCGCTTGGTACTTCCAAAGAGAGAACTTGTCGTTTTTTTATTTGAAAATTTCATGATTTCTAAACTTACACTATAACCACATTAAACTATTGTAGAACTAAAAGACCCCTTTATCCTATGTCGAACCGGATAATATGGTCGAGCAGCTTTGTCTTCTAACAAATGTATTATTGTTGGGCAATGTAGCCAAAATGTGTTTCTTCTATTACAGCAAATGCAACCTTAGTTAGCATATCATCTTTGGATCATGAGCTTTAGAATCGCTATGTCTTTTAAGATCATAACTCTAATCTCTGACCCGTTGATCACTCCCCACGTGGAAGATCACCGACTTACAAAAGGCTTTAGCGTCTTCAGAAGCCAATGGCTTTAGCGTCTTCACAAGCCAAGTCAAAAAAGTCCACTTTGCTATTGACCTACATATCCGTAAGTCGGCGTCACAAGAGATCAATTCAAAAACACACTTCGCTGTACTTTTCTTCTTTTGAATCCAAAGCCTTGTCTTTTATTTTATTTATCCTCTCTGTTTCCCTTTTTAATTACCTCTCTGAGTCAAGTTCATCAGAAAATATTCAAAGACGACGGCTTCGTTTGAGATTTGATTCGTTTCACTCTTCTGGGTATTGCCCTTATTGCTTAAATTTACAACCTTTTTTACGTTATCCAACGATCTTCGCTCCGTTACTGAAACTCTTTTGTTATCTCCGTTTCTTCTCTCTCGTCTCATTTACTGTTCGTAACGTGATTTTGCTACTTCCGTTACTTGAGGAGAGATTACCCTTCTTATGTTCAAATCTGATTCGTCGTCTTTAGGTTTTGTCTTGTCCCAAAATTAGCTCAAAGTTCGTAATTTTGTTTACTTGTTAGTAAATAACAACGTTTTCTTTTTGAAGTAAGTATCATCAATTCATGACATGGATCTGCTGAAAGTTGTAATCTTTTGGATTTGGGGTCTTATCCTACTTTGCTAATGAATATCATTAGATTTCAATCGGAGGAGTGTAAACGATGTTTATGTGTTAATTAGGAAGCAATAACTAAAGAGTTTTCTCTAAGATTTCCGTTTTAGGGGTTGTCTGCTTCATATTACTAGCTTAATGGTTTTCTAACTCTCTATAACTTGTAAATTTTCTACTTGTATTCATTTTTGTGGGCTGGATCTGAATCTAAAGTTTACATTTTTATTCATGTTCAATCTCATTGTGATCCAGTTAAGAAGTGTCCAGAGACTGAAGTATCCATTGAATGATATAGTTCCTGGTGAGCTTAATTGGTTTTAGGACATGGCTAACCGAACAGACAACTCCAGTCGCTGGTTAGATTCATCCGTATCCTGACTTCATTGCTTGATTCATGTTCTGACTTATGAGTTTGATTATAGTATAAAAATATATTTGTATCCTTTATTTGCAGTTCGAATGGTAAAAAGACAAATGATGGAATGAGACTCATCATAGCAACATTCGTAGGAATAGTTATCGGTTTCTTCGTGGGGATATCATTCCCTACATTATCACTAACGAAAGTGAGCTAGCTATATCTTTAGCTTTTTGTTCATATTTTCTCTCTAGACTATGCTTGATATATTGTTTCATATGGCCAACCTTTATACTTTCAGATAAATTTTCCCTCTGGCATTCTTCCCTCTGTTGATATTGCTTACGTAGAAGATGAGACACCAGAAACATCAAGTGAAACACTTTTGCATACATGGTCATCTAGGAGTCCGTTACATGGGGCTAATTCGAGTGATGCACCGCAATGGAAGGCATACTTCCTTCTCTTTTAAATTTTAGTGGTAGTGACAAGATCTTGTAAAACTAATCTTAATGAGGATTATGCAGATTTGGGTTCCATCGAATCCCCGAGGTGCAGAAATGTTGACTCCTGGTATCGTTGCATCTGAATCAGATTACTACATACGCAGACTTTGGGGATTACCTGAGGAGGTAATATAGTGTATCCTTTATTGCTTGATCTTGAGAATTTTTCATCTTTTGGATAAGAAGTCTCATCTTTTGCATAAAAAGTCTCATCTTTTCCAACTGCATTGAATTGCCTGATCATGGGTTTGTTCTCTTGTATTGCTTCTTTAGGATGTTCCTGTGAAGCCAAAGTATCTCATTGCATTTACTGTCGGTTTTGGTCAGAAACTAAACGTTGATGCTTGTGTTAAGAAGGTAAAATCTGATGCAGGCTCTCCTTTCTTTCTGCAAAAAACTTAAGAGTCTTTCTCACTTTTTCCGCAGTTTTCAGAAGATTTTACAATTGTTCTGTTCCACTACGACGGACGAACCACAGAATGGGACGAATTTGAATGGTCCAAACGTGCAATACACGTGAGCGTGCCAAAGCAAACCAAATGGTGAACATAACTATACTTTGCTCTAACTACTCGAATCTTTGTGAGGCTAGCTAGCTTGTTTAACCATTGAATCGCTCTGGTTATGATTTTCATCTCAAGGTGGTATGCTAAAAGGTTTCTGCATCCTGACATTGTGGCACCTTATGACTATGTATTCATCTGGGATGAAGACCTCGGCCTTGAAAACTTCGATGTACAAGAGTGCGTCTTCTTGCTCATTTTTAACAATTGTTTTTAAATTGCCGCACGAACCTAGTCCAGCAAATGTCAATATGTGTTTCTTTGTGTCTGCAGGTACATCAGGCTTATAAAGAAACACGGTCTAGAGATATCGCAGCCTGCTGTGGAGTCTAAAAAAAAGATCACATGGGAAATAACAAAGAGAAAAACCAAAGGAGAAGTTCACAAGTAAGCAATTTCACAATTCCAAACATCAAAGGGCACAAACGTTAAGTAACTAATCATTTTCTTTCTGAAAAATCTAATCACCAGAGATGCCAAGGAGAAACCAGGTCGATGCAACGACCCTCATTTGCCTCCCTGTGCGGCGTAAGTAGTCTCAACTGTTCATTACACAAACAGTGATTTATATAATTCTCTTGATTCCACTTCATATTTTCACAGGTTTATAGAGATCATGGCTCCAGTATTCTCAAGAGATGCATGGCGTTGTGTGTGGCATATGATTCAGAACGACTTGGTTCATGGTTGGGGTCTTGATTTCGCACTCCGTAAATGTGTTGAGGTTAATAATTTTGCGGACATACCTTCATTCTTAAAACCATTGCACATGTGTTTTGGTCATCTACTGAAAAGTTTCCTAATATAACAAACAGCCTGCACATGAGAAGATTGGAGTTGTGGATTCTCAATGGATCATTCATCAGTCGCTTCCTTCTCTAGGCAGCCAGGTTCTAGATAATACCTACTCAAGTTGATTACAAGTCTTCTGTTTTGTTCATATATTGATCCATATTTTTATTTTGGTTTTCTTTTTACCAGGGAGAGGCACAAGACGGTAAAGCAGGGTGGCAAGGGGTAAGAACTTTGAAACATCAGCTTGTAACAGAGAATTAGCGGTTTCGTTTTAACTAATTGATGATGGCTATATATGGTTTTGTTGCAAAGGTGAGAGACAGATGTAAACGGGAATGGACAATGTTCCAAAGCCGAATGGCGAGTTCCGAGAAGAAGTATCTCAAGGAAATCGCAAACTCAACGATTCATTAGCAGATACTAAAGAAACAGAGAGACAAGTGAAGAATTGAACAAAAAAACATGGTAGAGACCAGGAATGTTTTTAAGTGTTCATATGATGACTAATCCAAATTATATTGTTCATATGATGATTAAAGAACTATATACACACGACACAGTTTTGAAAAAACAATTTAGAGATTTATTTTCTTTCTTTGTGTGTTCTTGACCCTAGTTACTTTTCATTTCTTAAAATTAGACACAGACTATGAGATATGATCCCATGTGGGTGATGGGTCTATCTAATTGATGTTCCCTAAGTTTATGTAATAGAAATTTCTCCCTTATGCTCATAAAGAAAACATCTGAATTCGACCTAAGCATCGGAAGCTTTATTCATGACTCAGGAGAACAAGTCTCTTAATAATGGACACATGAAAAACACCAATCCTCGTATACATAACAAACCCAATGAAATCAGGAAAAGGAGAAGGAGATGTACAAAAAGGGTAAGTAAAGAGTGTCTTGATGCAAAACTTCCCAAAAGGGGAAACTCAGAAGAACACAAACTCATGTTTGATGATGCACAGTCACAGAGAATGAAGGTTTTCATGCCTGATGCGAAATCAGAATCCTGAAGAAACAAAGAGATCTATCTATATACAAAAATCTTCACCCTTTAATAATCCTCTCAAAGTGCCTGATGAAAAACTCTGCAGCATTCACCGACACCAATACGCCTCAGACAAAATTGCAGAGATTATATATCAGTTGTGTAAGTGTTATTAGTCCGGAGGAGGATTCAAGCCAGCTTTTGTTTCCTCTCAATGTAGAGGTCTTAAGATGAACGAGAAGTTAAGACTCCATGTGCTGAAGATTCAATCTCTATCATTCGCTATCTCTTATGCAATTTCCCGGTAAGAGGAATCTGTACTTATCTGCGTTTTCCAGGAGATATGAAGGAAGATGAACCGCTGAGAAAGAATGTGGGATTGGACCCATTTTCCCTATTATCTCCTTGAAGGTGTACTCTTCGGGGAGCATATCGAAAAGATCAGCTCCTTTGCATATAACTCTTTGAACTCTCTTAGGATTTAAGAAATGACCAAACCTCACTCTATCATTATGGCTATAAGCTTTCATCTTGAATATAAACTCACTGATCCGTCGAAAGCAAAAGCTACAATGCCATCCTGCATCCGCCAAGATTTCATCAGACTGTCGATAATGAGCATACCGTGTTTTACCCGTTTCATATCTATGCACGGATGCTCTCCAGCTCTTGTTATCAACTAGGAATTCAAACGAATAAAGATAGTTCTTGAGCCGCAGATGAAGGATCTTCGGGACCTCATCGCACCATCTCAAAAGGTTTATGGTGTGTCTACTTGGAATCTCATCAACATCAGACATTAACAACAAGTCATCATCAGTAATGCCGGCGATTCTCAGAAGCTGGTCTAAAGCAACCCGCTGATATGCCTCTTCGTAAAAAGGATTCTGCCCTTTGACAAATCTTCCACCAACAGTACCATAAGTCAAGCGTGACTCAATAAACTTAAACTCATCTCGGTGTGCAGCAAACACAAGAGGCTTTGGCAACCCAGTGAATGTTGTGTTTGATTCGAGGAGGACAAACTGAGTGATGTAAGGAAACAATTCTCTCCAACGAACAGCGAGGATGTCAAGCTCGTTACTGAACAAAACGGCATCATAAACTCGTCTAGGGTATTCTCGCACACCCCAGCCATGGAGTTTACAAAGAGTCTCCATAGAAGCGTTCTCGTGGTAGTAATGAGGAATGTCATGAAAAGGTTTAGGTGGCGATTCCCACAATGGCCGAAGAAAGTAAGAAATCTTCTGGCCGTGGACATAACCAGCGAGTACACATGTAGGAACAATGACTAAAAGGAAGATATATGTCCTCATATCAACCCCACGAAGAGCACAACAAAGTCTAGAAAAGCTGAAGAATCTTCCAGGTTCCTGCCAGATAGATAATAAACAATATGTCAACATTACAACCATAATTCACAATAATATGCAGAGCACAGAGACATGGAATATTAAACCCACGAATAAACAAATGCTTAAATCTGATTAAAAAAATTAGCTTTTTATAATCAAGAGATAAAAAAAACTTAAGAACGAAGATAAATCTAAACTCAGATCCAAGCTAATTTCTCAAATACAGAATTGGAGGATACTAAGTCTCGTTTTAACAGTGATGCCATCATCATCATCATCATCATCAAATGCGAGTCCAATCAAACAAATGGGTCGAACATATAGATCTCAAAAGATCAAATTTTTGAAAATTTCCAAGGATAAGGAAGTAAAGATCTCGTTTCGTTTCTGAACATCAATGCTGTCTCTTAGTTTTCTCAGAAAACAGAACAAAAACACACACAAAACCTTGAGAAATTCAAAAAAAGCAGATCCGGAAATGGAAACAAACCTGACTACAAACACCGCCGCAGATATCATCAGTCTTCTTAGAACAGTAATGTCCACCAGCTTCACCCATCATCCACCACATCCCCCAAACTCAGATCCACCGATTACCAAATGCTTCACACTAAATGCCAACCACCTTTTTCACTCGCCTCTCTCAACGACGATGAGTCCAAAGAAAAACTTCCGGCAACGACGATACACTTCTCTTTCCCCGGAAAATCACAAATTCAAATCACTCACTCACTCTCTCTCTAATCTCAGCTTGAAGACACAGTTAAGCAAAACAAAATCAGAAATTTGAATTCAGAAACACAGAGACGGAAACAAAAATAAAAATAAAGTAAGAAATAAGAAATGGAAGAAGAGAAATGAGAGTTAAGAGAGGAAGAGGGATGAGAAAAGGCTGTGTCCTCTCTGGAAATGGGGTGGCACGACGCGATTAAGAAAGAGAAGGGGGGCCTCTTTCATAATTATTCTTAATTTCTCGCATTTACCTATTTAACCCTTCCCTCACTTGACCCTTTCAACGCATAAACCCAAGGGTTAGTAATGTCATTTACCAAAACAGCATAACGGTTTGATCGGGCCCCACCACGAGCCTCTTCGGACCCTGACTCAACTCAACGCCTCTTTCTTCTGTTTAATTATGTCGTGTAAATAACTTCATTTACTACGCTTCTAACACGTGTCTCTCTTAAAATATCTCTCCCCGCCCCCTTTTGTAACTGGGCTTATACTTGGCCCATTTAGATATCCTTAAAAAGGGTCAAATGGAAAAGAATCTTTTTTTTTTGCTTTTTTCTATAATTATTAATTGATTAAGATAATTTTCTGGTATACAGGGTATCATTTCATGTGTAGTAGAGTAACAACAACAACAATACTTAACATAATTATTGAATGTTTTAATGAGACAATATGATTTTAATGATTGTGTCTATATGATGAATCTGTAAAACAAAAGCCAGTGGATCATCGTGACTTGTGTTGGATATATAAGTCGGCGATACATTGACTTGGCCAAATTTATAAGTCGTTTACTTATATCATTGGCAAATCGTTTCTGACTTCTCTTATTCATCATATCTTATCTTACTCTTTACTTGGACAAACATGAATTGAAAGGTTTTTGTTTTACTTGGTACGGAATTTTCCACTCTTGCTTTGATAGATATGTGAACTGAGTTTAGCAATTTCTATCAATCTAAAAAGATAAAACATTTGTATATACGTATGGGTATCAATGTTCGACCAGCAGCATTTTGAGAATGGGTGGAATATGAAAACGAAATTTGGAGGCTTTTGAAGAAAAGATATATTACACGTTTCGTAATTCGATTTTTTATTTCTTAACACTTTTCTTTTTTTTGGTATAAGATAAAGAAAAACACTGATTCGTTGATAAAGACCCTTAAAAGTTGCATTGCATACGTACGTTAACGTGTTAACATGTGTTGGATTGAGTCGGCATTGACTTGATTTTTTAAGGTCTCCCACTACTAAATTTAGAGGTTTTCAATGGCTGAGACGTCGTCATAAGTCACAAAATCACTAACCCACTTTATCATTTAGTGGTGTAAGTATCTTTTAGATTATCGTCATACTAGTATAATTGTATGGGCGATTAACTGTGGTTTAAGAAGAGAGGGGAAACAAATGTGAACTTATACATTGATTTTAACAACTACAGTTTATAGTAATCGACCGGTAAAGTATTCAGGATCATATGGTAATAATGGTTCATCTCATTCCACATCAATAAGTACATAGATAAATCAAGAATGCCAGTAATCATATGTGGATCTCATAATGGGTCTAAAATTTGGGCTTTAAGTGGGCCTAGTATTTTGCGCCCATGTTTTCTATTGTTGGAGAGAAATTTTGCTGTTGCTAAGCATAGGGAGTTTACAAGAGGTTTTTAGTTTAACTATTGTAGTTCCATGCTATGCTTTCGCTGTGGAACTGATACAGTAAGGTAGGATCATATGCATTAAAAGGAAACTGTGGTGTTTGAAAATCGCCTACCGAACATTTAAGTGTTCTGCAAATTCATATAAACCCTTGCCTTGCGCCTTTGTCTTGAGACAATTTGACCTTTCACCCTATAATAATCTATAGTCTATACACTAGTATAAGTTTACTCTGATTCGCTGATAATTATAAAGTTAGCATCCAACAATAATTGAGAGACTGAGACCATTCTTGTTCGGTATACTATTTTTGTTGTTTTAGTATACTACTCATTTTCATCCACATATATAAATGTTGCATCGAGTCATCGAACGCAGTAAACAAAACTCGGCAGAAAATATTGCATCTCATCATATATTCACAATGGTTTAATTTAAACCCATATTTAAGATTTTTTTTTTTTGTTGGCATCGAGTATATACATTTCTGTTTATTCTGCATATGAATTGTTTTGACATCAATCAATATTAAAGGTCTTGTCCTTTATAATAGATAGATTTTTAGCTTTATCTTTGGTGATAGAATGAAGAGAGCACGAAAAGTTGGAGGAGACAGAGACAAAGACTGCCTTTTGTACGAACGGAGAGTTCACTTTTCAGACTACAAACAAATAAATGTAAGGATATCACTTTTTCATCTGCAGATTCACCACTTTAAATGGGTCGATGCCAACATTGCTGAACTAAGGAATTTTTCCATCCTACTTAATTATTTGCTATTAGTATAAGTTAGATCGTTATGGTTAAGCGTTAATACAAAGTTACTTCTTAACAAGTTCGACCATATGATTATGAATAAATGATCTATGAGATATGAAATTATGGTGTTTCTGCATTAAATCCCTATATCTAAACTCCAACTCAACAACTTGATTAAAAATTTAAAATAACATCTTTTTATAATCTATAGCAAATAGTACTACACTTAAACCTTTTTTTTTAGTTAATATCCAACATTGGGAAAGATAGAAATATTAAACTATTTTTCGATAGTACCAAAACTCAACAAAACATAATCATCATGCATGATAGATATATCTAACTAGTAACTAGCCCCACGATCTCCGGCAAGTACAGCCTAACTGAGCTCCGTACATCAACATTTCCTGATAACCCCACTCGTTTGATCCGTAAGTTGAACCACCGTCTGCGGCGGCGCTCACGCCGTCGAAATAACCGGAGTCCTCAATACCTTGGGAATTCCCGCAGCGGTCTAGTTTCGACGATAGTGGCTCCTTCGTCCCTTGAAACATGTTGTCCGAGTAGATAGTGAGGGCAGAGAAATCACCGGAGTTCTCGTGAAGGCTGGTCACCGGCGGTGGGTTTGGTGGCGGCGGCGGAGGAGTGCTGCGATTTTTCTTCAAGAACTCATGAACGACCTCTTGTAATAGACCAGAATCAGAGGTCTCTTCCGGGAAGAACGACTCGTAGTTTTGGGTTTCGGAAGATGAAATGGACGCCGTTTTGGGTGCAGAGTAAGAAGAAGATGAGCCGTTGAAGGAGTTCCTAAACGCCGACGGTACACGAGAGGAACACGAAGCGTCGCGTAAGAAGATTGACTGAGTGTTAATGTTCTGTTGTGCCGGTGCACCGTAAAACTCATGTGTAGAGTGATGATCGAACGGTAGAGACGGAAGAGGACAACGCACGGACGGGAAAGATTTCTTGGTAGAGAAAGAGAATCTTTGGTCAGGAACAAGAACAGCTGTCGGATAAGCAAAGTTAGTACGAGCCTTAGCTCCACGAAAGGTACGAGCAGCAGAGTCGTAAGCACAAGCGGCTTGTTCCGCCGTGTCGAATGTTCCGAGCCAGCGTCTTTCCTTGGATATCGGGTCACGTATCTCCGCCGCATATCTTCCCCATGGTCTCCGTCGAACGCCGCGGTACCTCGTCGTGCTGCTACCGGCTCCGGCTACGGTGACTGTTGTATCCTTTGAAGACTTTTTGCGGTTAGCCGGTGAAGATGTAGTGTTGGTGAAGCTTCTTGTGAAAGGATTTGGATCGGTCTCGTTAGATCCGTGGAAGTTCCTTAGGGCTTCTTCCATTCTTTTTGTTTCTAGGGTTTGTTAAAGACGAGATATGTGAAGTCTTTGGTGGTTGGCACTTTGAAAGAGACTGAGCTTCTTCTATCTATTTATAGGGTACATATTTTTGTATTTCATTTCTTTTTCTTATACAATGTTATTAAATTTAGGTTATTGTAGTTATCATAAAGCAATGTAGGACGATATTTTTACATAAGTTATAATCCTTTACTTAGTTTTTTAACCTTTACATAAGTGATAATCCTTTACTTAGTTTTTTAACCTTTACATTATGTTCTACTCATCATAATTGCTCTGTCTTTCATGTAATTTCATGTACTCATCATTTGTTTGATAATGGTACCATTGTTATTGTTTTGAAAACGGACCTAAAACGTTTGCACACATGCTAAAAGATATTCACATTATTTTTGTATGATTAGTAAAAGAAAATCTCATCATTGTTTAGCCTACCAATTAGAAGAATCCTTTGAAAGTGTGCTTTTGTTTAATGTTTAGTAAATGATTACAAATCTTTACAACAATCAGTTAAATAACGTACGTGGATATCGAGAACGAAATTAATGATTTGTTTTTGTAAAGGTCGATAGAGAAAAAGTATGGAACAAAAGATATGCGTAGAAACACTTCAGTGTAAATCTGACACGTGTGTGTATTATTGTACGAAGAGGACACTTCAGGTATGTCTAAACGTATGTATGAGACATATATGTATTTCATGTATCAGAAAATTCAGAAAGCTTGCTTTTTTCTTTATTGCTTCTGCCATATTTTTTAATCAATAACATATCTTCCCATGCTTTACGTTACAAACTTACAATTATATCACAAAAAAAAAATTACAACCATCCAAATTATAAGCATATACTATCTTTGCAAGAAAATTACCATTCGTTTTTAAAAGATAAATATGACTTCATGTGATTAACATTTTGAATGGTGTTGAAATGTTACAACTCTAAAGTTAAATCGTATGGGAAGATCTTATATAATAACAATATACAAGCTTGATATAAGAATTTGTCTGGGGTAGGTTGAGATAATAAGTATAATAGTAAATGTTATACATATTTACTAGTATATGGTTTAAAAGAGTTAGTTGGAATTGGAAGAAAAATGATCGTGAGAGATTCTTCAAAATTTTGGGAACTAAAGACTTTGAGTTTCCAGCTCAAGTCACATTATATATATGCAGATGTCTATGTGATTTCCAATGTCAAGAAGTCAGTTATTACAATAGCTACTCATGTTCTGAGTTAATAATCTACTCTATGCGTTTATCTTTCAAAACATAGCATAGCAACTTAAAACCAACTTAGTCAAATCAGATTAGTGGATACCAAACATACTGAACCAGTTGTATATAATAAAACGAACCATACTCAAACTACATATCTTAAAAACAAAACGAATTAGACTTAACATGAGTAATTGGTTCAAACCAAAACCAAACAAATTAACAAAGTGTTTATAAATTTATACTATTTGATATGAAAGTATTAATAAAAACATGCTTTTAAATAACTTTTATTGGTGTTCAAAAAAAAAAAATATAACTTTTATTGTGTTTACACCGCACAGCACACCATAACATATTTGTGTTTGTTGAAGATGTGGTTTTTATTACACTAGTAGAAAGTAGTATATTGGAATAAAGATGACAAAGGGTATAGTGCAACTAATCAGAAAAGTATGATTTGATAGAATTTTTGAAAGAAGAAGGGACGAGGAGTAAATGGTAGGTCGAGAAAAAGGAGTTTCTGCAAGGACAAAGAAAGAGATAGTCAAAAAAACTCCCAACCAAAAAAAAAACAGAAGAATTTCAATCAATCAATTTTTTTTGTCTCTTGGAAATCGGACTTTTACTTATTCAACCTATCTTGATCCTTCCAAGAACAATAACAAGCCGTGCTAAAAATTAAGAGTTGTACGTTTAATTTATATACCCTATTTATACCTTTTTTTTTTATAATCTTAAGTCGTGTAAGTTAACATAAAAGAGAATTCTATTTCGAATTAGGAGTCCTATCAATATTATAACCTTCTACACTTTTACATGGGGTTTTTTTTTTGTATATATGGAGTATACCAAAAAAAAAAGAAGGGTTGGGGAGAAAACAAATCCCGTTAAAAGTGAGTGACCTTTTGGGACATGAGAAAAGATCATTCTCATCATTTTGCCCCCTATGATGTGGACCCTAAGCACCCATGCGTTACACAATTATTACTACTCTCTTTGATTTTGACTATCTTCTTCTTTTTTATTCAAGTATATGTTTTGCTCTTCTCTTCTCATACTATTCTATATGTTTTGGGCCCAATATCATTTAATGCATCCACACTCTCTCTGATGAAGCCATATCTTATACTATACTACTTCCTTATTGAAAACGAAACTTTCGAATTCTTGAAATCATGGGTAACCAATACTGAACTTGACATGATATTTTCTATTAGTTAGTAAAGCCAGTAAATACTACTTTTTAAAAACGAATTATATCAACACGTCTACTACATATTGGCTTAAGATTGAACCTAAGCGGACGTTCACTTAAGCAAACTTTTAATCATCTAACGTCTGAGAGCTTGAGAATGTAACTTTTAGTCTGAGAAGTAACTTAATCAAGTTGCGTTCATTCCTCCTTTTTGTCATTTAGTGTTAAAAATTGTAGTATAAATATCATTGTTAGTAGTATTAAATTGTAGTGGCACGTTCAGTATAGAGTTTAGACTATCGAGATTAAGATAGACCAAACTTATAGTAACTGTTTGTAGAGTAATTACACTAGTGATGGGCCCTAATCTATAACTCTCTATATACTTACGCATTGATTATGGAGCTAATTATAAGCTTTACTTTTTTAAACCACACATTATTTTCTCTTTTCAAAATAACTTTAAGAGGCTTTGTTATTGTATAAGACTGTTCTACAAGTGTTTCAGTTGGATGTAAAAATGGATGTCATGTCGGAAAAGTTGCGAATTGAGCATTAAGCTATGTAGTAATGTTTCAATATTCTATATATGGGGGAAACAAATCAACCAAGTAAAAATATACGGTTTGGTTGTTTATACAAACATCTATTACTACGTTTGATATGTTGTTGTTAAGTTGATGAGCTGTTTCAGTAGGGCAAAAAGAAGAAGAGAGGAGAGAGAGCAACCGAGCAACTGATCTGCCAAACTCAGAGTAAGATGACTACTTTTTTTTTGCTGGTTCTGATCAGTTTGTCTCCTAATCTCTCTACCTCTATTATGTTAGGGTCAGATTCATATGTAATATTTTGCATATACAATGTACTCTCTACCCCCTCCCACATTAAAACCATTAGCAAACAAGAAACTGGCAGAATCATAAATGAGAATATATATATATATATATATATACAAATTATCACTCCTAACAATATTATTGGTGCATTAATGTAGGAAAAACCCTAGTCCCAAGATTCATCATTCCTTTTCTCTTCTGTAACTAGATGTTCTTCAACAGCTTTTGTCTCCCAATTGTCTCTTTCCATTATATTATAATTTTCACGTATACATGCTTCTACAGTAGTATTATCTTTCTAAAAGTTATATCTATATCCAAAATTAGTCTGATCGACAAACAAATAAAAGTTTCAAGTATTTAGTCACACCTTCACTTCTTGTAAAAAGATCATAGGCACCATGGTTGAACAGCATGGATGGATTTGGTGTTATCATCACATATTCAATTATTTTGTTACTAGTGTATGCGAATACTTCTATTTGTCAAAATGTATTTAAAAAAAAAAAAAAAAACAGGAAATATGTTTAGTTGTACTATAGTGAATTTATTAGATCTTTTTTTTCCCTTCTTATGTGGGGCAAAAGGATAAGAAAGGCACATTAAAAGGCTCATTGTTAATGCTACACCCAACTGTTGGGCTTAAAAAGGGTGACCAAGGGCCCATTTAGAAAGAGCAAAGTCAAAACGTTTATAATCTGGGATCCTTGTAATCTTTAAACTATAGACTCTTTCAAAACTAGATAAAGTCATCAAAGAAACATCAAGCCAACAACAAAAGTACAATGGTCAGAGTTGTTGATCCAGATACGAGTCTTTCTTAGCTGCACCACCATGAGTACCTCCAGAAAAAAGTCCAGTAACAATGGAGTTTCCCCATGAGAGCCAACCTGCTGCTCCTCCTTGTTGCTGCTCAGCTTCAATCACACTTTTCACTTGCTCTTTCTCCACCATCTCTTCCCATCTCTTCCTCATGAAATCTCGAACCGATTCAGCGCTTTGGTTAACTATCTCTTGTGGAGGTAACTCCAATGGGTTCTGGTCCAAGTTCAGTTTCTCAAGCTTCTCTAGCCTGAAAAACGAGTCAGGCAAGACTCTGATCTGGTTGTTGCTGAGATCTAGCTCCCTTAGATTCGCTAAATCAGAGATTGTGTCAGGAAGTTCGGTCAAATCTCCGAAGTTGCTGCTCAAGTTCATGACTTCGAGGCTTGTGAGTCTTCCTATAGCGATTGGAAGGCCGTGTATTTCGTTCATATGTGCATCTAGATACCTTAGAGAACGCATCTCACATATGGAATTGGGGAAGAAACGGATTTTGTTAAGCTGGATCGATAGCCTCTCAAGATTGAGTAATCCGTATCCGATGTTTGCAGGCAGAGATGTCAAGTTGTTGAAGCTGGCATCTAACTCTACTAATGACCTAAAAGCACAAGAACATATCTTTCCTCAGAATTGGGTAAAATGCTAAAACAAAACGAAACAGGAACAAAAGAATGAGAACAAAACCTGCACTGGGCAATGCTTTCTGGGAGTGAAGTTAGCTTGTTCCCAGTCACATTTAAGATCCTCAGATTAAGTAATAGCCCAATAGAGTCAGGAAGAGACCTAAGATAGTTTGAAGATAAATCGAGCTCCTCTAGTTTCTCAAGTCCTGAGATTGTATCAGGTAGGAACTGCAAAAAGAAAAACAGCTTTAGTTACTACAAAAGACGACACAACAAATAAAAAT